ATTACTAAACAAGCTGTTCAGGTTAAATTAAAATAATCAAATGGTTAATCAATAACAACCTTACTCCTACTAGTACTACTGCTACTATATCATATTGATGGATGTTAGCCTCCGGATTACTGTATAATACTTAAAGTGGTTTAAATACCTGCATTTAAGTAATCCAATTCGTTGCTTGTGTTGCAACCGGTTTCAACTCCGTGGAGTCATCTTCAGGCGTCCAAGGATATAAGTTATCACTTCATTTGAAGGTCGTCATAGTTTTTAAAAAACGAATATACACGTAACACGAACATTGAACACTGAACACTGACGTTTAACATTTAAAAAACATACAAAGTTGCTGAGAAGGTTAGCGACGCGTACCGGCCGGATGTAAAGTCTAGAGTAGAAGAATGTCTAGAATGTCTCTGTCCTAGACTGTGCTGAAGTTCCAGGATATCCCAGGCTTATCCGAACTGATAAGCCGGGTCAAAGGGAGCTAGCTAGGTTCGACGCCGCCGCTTGCTTACCTCTACAATCGGTACGCGGCCAAATAGCGAAAATATACCCCCTCTAGGAAAAATAACTTGTTACAAGGTACCTATATAAAATGTCTATATAGACAACACAAATTGCACTGGTGCTGTATCGAACTAATAAACTACTCTGGAGTTAAAGTTGTTAGGCTATAAAATGTCTATATAGACAACAAAAATTGCACTGGTGCTGTATCGAACTAATAAACTACAATCTGGAGTTGTTATAAAATTTCTATAGATAAGAAAAATTTTACTGGTGCTGTATCGAATTAATAAACTTGAGTTACGATTTTCAACATAAGGTAGGCTAATTACTATTTTACAAAATCTTTTTAATTATATTGTCAAGTTAATATCATCTAATACTATTCTTGCCTCTACTTAAAATCAGGATTATTATATGCTTAGCGGTAAAAGAATAACATAAAACATAAATGTAGCTAGCAATATAGACAATTTTACTTGTAAAAGTATTTTAACTAGGAGCATTGAATCTTTTCTCCATTTAACACACAAGACATTTTTATAACTTGCGTTCTACATTGAGACAAGGGTTTTATAAATATTTGTTACCTATATTTTTTTTACTTAGGCGTGGGCCCGGTGCGGAAGGTTTCTAAGAGTGGTTTGAATATGTTAAAAATCATCAACATACGCTTAGTATTAAATGAATAACTTAACATAATACATAAATGTAGCAATAAAGACACTTTTTCTTGTAAAGTATTTTAACTAGGTACATTGAATCTTCTCTCCATTTAACCCGTAACCCTTTTTTACTGTCTTCCCCTATACCATAGTATAGGCCTATGGAGAAAGTAGGCCTATTGTTTTCGTCAAAAATTTTTCGAGTTTGAGTTTTGAGTGGATATATTCGTTATGGGTCCCCCTAGGCCCAAAAAAGTGGTTTTTGAAGTGATGTCTGTGTGTCTGGATGTGTAGGCTACAGAGTGGTCCGATTTCGATGAAATTTGGTTTGTAGGTTCTAATCCATGGTATCTCCAGACGTTTTTTTAATTTTTTGAAATTTTGATTTATAATGGGGATTTTCCCATAAAAACCCGTAAAAATAGGATTTTCTAAAAAATGGCCCTAACGATTTTGATAAAAATTTATTATGTTGTAGCCCTTTAAATTCTGAACAAAATGGTATAAATCCCATCTCTGTAAAAATTACGGTTCAAAAGTTATTGTAAACTAGGACTATGTTATTTTCCCATAAAAACCCCATAAAATAACAAAAAATAGGACTTTAGAAATAAAATTCCGTTTTGATTTTACATAGTATGTTATGGACCTTACAATTTTGATACCTACCTACCTAGTTTTTTTCATTTTTTGACATTTTGATTTTTATGGGGATTTTCCCATAAAACCCCATAAAATAGCGGAAAAATAGGATTTTCCCAAAAATGGCCTGAATGATTTTGATAAAAATTAAGTATGTTATTATAGTCCTTTATATTCTGAACAAAATTGTACAAATCCCATTTCTGTAAAAATTACGGGTTAAAAGTTATATTGTAAATTATGTTATTTTCCCATAAAATAACGGAAAAATCGGATTTTCCCAAAAATGGCCAGAACAATTTTGATAAAAATGTATGTTATAGGCCTAGTCCTTAAAATTCTGAACAAAATTACAAATCCCATTTCCGTATATTTACTTTTACCGCTTACACATGATAAAGGTCGTTGACAAACTTATGGGAGAAAGTATGTGTCAGAATGCTGATACCGTTTATTACAACCTGGGTTCTACGTTGGGGCAAGGGTTTTATAAATATTTGTAAAAAGGCGTGGGCCCGGTGCGGTCTTGGTCTCTAAGAATGGTTTGAATATATTAAAATTCATCAATACCCCCGCTGCAGCAAACCTGCCAACTGAGCAAATTTCCATTTGCCTGGATTGATTTTCAATTAATCTATTAAATTAACATTTACCTATGTTTAACGAGTACCTAGGTTAGCTGCTACAGGGAAACTAATAAAGTGTGTTTTTTTTTTTAAATATCAATTAGCTTAGTATGAAATAGGCCGAAATAAATCCGCGAAGTTTGTTCAAAATATATTCATAAACAAGCCAACTACAACATTTTACAAAATCCATAAGAATAACATGGGAATTTTAAATTAACAGTTTTTTAAATTTTCTACGTAACCAATCACCGTACAAAAACACGATATACTAAATTATATTTGTTTTTAAGCTCTTAATAAGGTCTGGAAAAAAATTGATAAATTTTGTGTTTTAAGGGTAAAAAATGAGAAAACCCCATTTTTACTCCATAAAACCCCCCGTTAAACCCCGTTCCCTTGGTCCGATTATGCTGGTTCACAAACTCATTCAAGTTTATCCCGCCTTACACCTTCAAACCAAATTTTATCAAAATCGGACAAAAATTACTTAAGTTATTGTCCGGACGGACACATATAGGGTCATTCCATATGAAATCAACCAATAAAAAATTATTTTCAACCTGACCATCTTGGATTTTGATGAAATTTTGCATACTTGTAGTATTTTGAGTCCTGAATCCAAACATGCTTTTTAAAAAAATCTATCTTTTATAGTTTTTATGATAAAAATATTTGAAAATGGTAAAAATTGGAGTTTTTTACCGTGCGCGCAAATCTAAAATGTTGTCTAGGATGAGTTCTATTAATCCTATCAAATTGTACAATGGCTCATTTTAAAGAGGATTCAAATGCCTTTAATCTGATACCAAACTCAACCTACTTTGGTAAAAATTAATTTTTTTTGAAAATTTCAAAATATGTTTTTGAAAAAAAATTTAAGATAGTGTTTTTTGAAAAATTTGAAAATTAGATATGTTAAAGAATGTTATCTAGTAAGTACATTATAAAAATTTCTAAATGGGATGATAATGGGATCAGCAGTTATGATAAAAATACTTGACTATGGTTCACTGTTTCGAAGCATTTTGGCGCATACAGCGTGTAAGTACTAACCTAAATGTATCATTAAATAAGAGTCTATTAATTATATGATTAAAATTAAAAATATCTGCCTATATTTGAATTATGTATGTCATATTTTGCTATATATAAACTAAATCTAGCAAGTAAACAACATTATTCAAGTTAACAGAGTTTCCGTCAACCTTTGAACAAACATGGACCAATGGGTTGGTTCAGGTTCCTCTTTCCAGTTAGTTGTGTTGCAACGATTTACTGTAATCAATCTTTAAGTCTGCCTTTTCACTAGGCTGGAGACACTAGTCAGCCACTAGATCTGTGCAAAATCACATTGTGAAGCACTTTACGTTTACACTATCAGGTCGCAGCGACCCATCTCGGCTGTAGCGACTCGGTCTTGAGACAAGAGAAAAGACTGACAAACATAAGTTAGACCTGTGTACCTGTCAAACAAATTACAACTTCTCAAGACCGGGTCGCTACTGCCGAGGTGGGTTGCTGCGACCTGATAGTTTAAACGTAAAGTGCTTCACAATGTGATTTTGCACAGATCTAGTGGCTGACTAGTGTCTCCAGCTTAGTGAAAAGGCAGACTTAAAGATTAATTACAGTAAATCGTTGCAACACAACTGGAAAATACTGAGGAACCTGAGCCAAAACCCATAGGTCCATGTTTGTCTGTCTTTCCTCTCATGACAAGAGAGAGAGACAAACAAGCATTGATAATTTTGTCAAACAATATACTGTGATCAATCTATTTAAATCCTGTAGTAACCTTATTATTGATACATAGATAATATTCCATGATAGCCTAATTATTTAGTTTTGGGGAAATGTCTGCTCATAAGTATAAATAGCCTAATGTATTCTTACTTTAACAATTAAAAATTTTTTATTGAAAACTGATTTGTGGATTTAAATACCACAAACCACATACCACATTTCTGTATAACTTCTATTTTGATATGTCAAAAATTAAAAAAAAGTTACGGAGAATTTTCAAAATGTCCGTCCGGTTATTTTTTAACTTTGCAAGGGTATTTTTTAAATATCATAGCAGTCAAATAAAGGAATTGGATTATGGCTGCTAACAATAACTAAAGCTCAAAACATCTGTTTTCATTAGTTTATAGGCACATATATATATAGGCCTATATATATATATATACACTATATATATATATAAAAATTTGATCAAATGGTGTTTTTGGCCTCTGGGGACATCAAAATGAAAAAGTAAATTGGTCCCGGGCCTAAGTCTTACCATGAGACCTACGGTAATAGCTACTTCCCTATAGGGAAATTCGCTAAAAGGAAGGTCAAGATTTGCTGTTTAGTTATCAATAACGTTGAAGGTAAACAGAATATTAGGTTTTATATGGTCTATGGACAATAGAACAAAAACACTTTGCATGTTAAATACAGTATTTTTAAAACCGATCTCTCATAAGCTTTTAAGTCAAAGGTTAATATTATTGGTTAATATCAATGGCTACTTGCAATTGAAGATATATTTTAATAAAACCTATTTTTTTACCAGTGCTACAGCTACTGGTGCTCCTGCTTACCAACCTACTCAGACTGGTTACGCAGTAGCACCTACAGCTGCGGCTGCAGCCACCTACACTACACAGCGCGCAGCTCCTGCTTACGACACTGCGTATCCTACTGCTGCGACTCACACCACTCCTGGCACATATGCAGGTATCTTTGGATCCACATTGTTCAATATGTAAACATATCCTTGTCAAAATCGAGGTCCTCAGATAAACTCTTGCTGTTGACCATTAATTAAGGTAGCCTAAGGTATAGTTAATTATATTCTATATAAAGCTAATTCTTAGTAGGCTAACAAATTTCTTGAAATTAATGTAATAATTAATATTTAATTCTAATAACTTAGAATTTATTGACGTCGCCAGTTTTATCCTGAAAATAATTAGGCTTACCAGTAGCCTACAGTATTAGCTTTTTGATGTTTTAGAACTGAGCCTAGCTATCCTTGATCATTGGGCTTAATAAGTAGTCCTGGATAAATAAACAGCTGATCTTAGTCAGTAACAAAGCTAGACAGTCACTCCATTCTACATGGTGTCCAGCCGGGCGGTGTACGTGAATTTTGATTACCGGGGAAAAATCTGTGAATTGTACGAGAATTTTTAAAATAATCGGGAAATTTAAATATTTAAATATTGGCTGAAATATTGGTAAATCCAATTGATAAAGTCCAAATTAACAATGGGCGTATTGTACCCGAGTGTTAATGACTATATTTAATAAGTAAGCGTAGTGGTGTGTTCAGTACCAGCTGGGTCTACAGCGGCTCCTACTACTTATGATTACGCCTACCCTCGGTCTGCTTACGACGCCACCAAGACCTACTACCAGCAGCCTACTGCTGCGGCAGCAACATACTCCACCACTGACTATCAAGGTTGGTACACAACTCTTCAACTTAAATATACAACAGATTTGTTTCACCTAATAGGCTACTCTAAAATAGGCATACGTCTAAATGTCAATAAAAGCATTTAGGCTATATCTTACAAATGTTGACAAAGTAATTATTTTGGATTCACATATGGAAATTGACATGCATTTTGCTTCATTATTCTTTATATTTTACTGCAAATGCTTCTTACTACTTGTGCTCTTAACACTAATTTGTATTAGGCCTGGTTGTTTTTAATAAAATATCGTGAGTTGAGATGTTCCAAATTATCCTCTTTGTTTACTTTTCAATTTGTAAGTAATTTGTTTATAAACCATGTGTTATCTATCTGAACACCTAGGTCTACTACTATAGTTCGGCCGCTTAGACGACCTCCTCTAGAATTGGTTAGCATTAGCACGTAGGTCATTTTCTAAGCGACCTATAGTTAAATTAATATCTCTGAATCATATGTTTCCATGCAGTAAAATGGCAAAAGATTTCACATTTTGCAAATTTTCCATATTTCATATACACCTCAAACATTGTCATTTATTATTTATTATTTGTTATTTAATTTATTATAAGCTAAAATTTGTTATAACTGGAAGTTATTTTTACATTTTAAATTCTTTTACAAAATTATTCTTTTCTTTCATTTTCTAAAATATGATTAAAATACTCTTGTTATAATATCAACCAACCATAACAGTGAATAGTGAGTGATCAAGAAACCAGTGGTAACCAATTGTTGTAACAGATGTGAGTTAAATTAAATTTTACATCAAGATAATTCACTTCCTTCGTAATCCATAAAGAAGAAAGAAGTCTTAATTTTGAAAAGTATTGCTGCAACTGTGTGCAGTATTTGATCGCCAATACTTGCTGCAATTACTTGTTATCATCCAAGCATCGTGTCCGGAAATCAGACTTCGCTTTTCCAAAAATTAGCCACCGATATGGCTCTGTCATTCGCATGTAAAAGATCATCTAATGTGCAAGACTGGTCTAGACGTGGGCAGATCAGCAGATGGCCAGGATCCTGAACAGCACAACACGCGCACAAGATGTTTTCTTCGTCTGGTAAGAGACCCCATTTCTGCATGTTTGTCTTGCATTTTGGTACCTCGATCCTAATTCGATTTAGGGTCTTTCACACCGTGTAATGAAGGCCTCCACCAGGAGCCAGTTCCTCCCTGGCTGGTATGGAAGGGTTAGTCAACGTGGCCTCCCACCTTGCCACCTGATTGCTTGAGAGTGATCCATCCAGGACTCGTGTCCGTGATGAAAAGCTCTTTCTGGCCCGAAGCCGTCGCTCTGCAGGTTGGTGGCCGTGTAATGGGTGATGAGGGTCTGTCTCTTGCTTAGTCCTTTCTGCGTCGGCAGCGACATCACGTCGGATTGATGGAGGGGCAATCCCTATGATGAGAGTTTGTGTGCTGGGGTTGGTTTCAAACACCCAGTTACAATCTGAGCCATTTAATTGACTGCAATGTCAACCTTTTGCATGTGACGATGCATTCCATACTGGTGCAGCGTACTCCGCAGCCGACACACTGAGCGCTAAAGCTAAGGTTCTGAGGACATTAGGGTTAGCACCCCAGCATCTGCTGGTGAGCTTCCTGATGATATTATTCCTCTCTGAGACTTAACCTCTTGTCGCAATACATTGCGCCTTAAATGTCAGTGTGCGGTCCAGTATGACACCAAGATATTTGGGTGTAGGGCTGAAGACAGTCTCCCACCTCACATTCAACTCACAGCCTGCTTCTCTATTGTTTAGGTGAAAGGCACAAACTTGGGTCTTAGCAGGGTTCGGCTTGAGGTGATTTGCGTCATAGTACTGGGAAAGTTCATTTAGAGTCATAGTCAGCTTCTGTTCCACCTCTTCAAAACTCCTACCTTGTGCCGCCACCGCCGTATCATCGGCATATATATACTGACGTGTAGCGTTTGGCAACGGTTGGTCGTTAGTGTAAATGTTATAAAGAGCTGGGGCTAAGACGCTACCCTGAGATAATCTATTTCTTTGATTCCTCCATCTACTTTTCTTGCCTTGAAGGGACACGAAAAACCGCCTGTTATGAAGAAAAGTGCCTATCATTAAAGTCAGCTGATAGTCTTTGGTAATACTGTACACTTTTCCCAAGAGTCTTTGATGGTTTACGGTATCGAAGGCAGCTGTTAAATCTACAAAAGTGACACCCGTGATCTGTTTTCTCTCAAACCCATCCTCAATGTGCTGGATCAAGTTTAAAACTTGGCCACAACAAGTCTTGCCTGATCAAAAGCCTGCCCCTTGTGGAATGTTTTGTTCCAGAAAATCGTCGATTCGATTGAGTATCAGACGTTCTAATATTTTATATGTGTGGCATAAGAGAGAAACAGGTCGAAAGTTCTTAGGATCGTTTGGATCTTTACCAGGTTTGAGCAGTGCAGCCACACGAGCTTTCCTCCATGCCTTTGGTATATGCATTTGGCTTGAGCACATGTTCATGAGGCTCAACAACTATTGCATGGCAATTTTACCTAGGTTCTTTAGTTGTTCGACTCTGATCTCGTTTTCTCGACCTGGAGCTCTATCAGTCTTTAAGCTGGTAATGACTGCAGTTAGCTCGGACATGGTGAATGGTTCTTCCAGGAAGTGATTCTCACTTGCCACATCACGCACAACAGGCTCCCGGTATATCCTTCCATAGGTTTTGCCATTTAAAAGAAGGTTGGTAGCGACTTGATCGGCAGTAACTGTTGTAAAGTTGTCTTTTGGTTTTGTCGCATCTCCATTTATGTTCTTGAGGAACTTCCAGGCCCGTCTGCTGTTCACCTGCATATCTAAACTCTCCACAAGATCAAACCACTTAGTTTTGCGATTTTCGGCAATGACTGACATAAGCTCTTCACCTGCTAGAAGTGTGTCCTCAGCAAAGGGATCATTGTCAAAGAGACCTTGGTATCGTTCTAGCAGTGGCTTTGCCTCTTCAGAGAGTCCTGCGATGTAATGGGTTTGACAGCCTCTAGGTATCATTTTTCTCGAGACCTGCTGGACAAGCTTAACGAAGGAGTCAAGTCATACATATCAGGTTGTGGAGGGATATTGGCGATTTCTCTGTCAATGATCTCCCTAAAACCTCTCCAGTTGGCCTTTTTGAAATTAAACCTGCGACTTAGAGGAACAACTTCAGGTTTAACAACAGCACTAACGGTGCATACTATAGGTCTGTGTTGAGTTTGGGGAATCGGATCACCTACAGACTTTTCACACTGGGAGGCAATCCTGCTGCTCACAAAGATGTTGTCAGGGTTATAACCCCTCTTCCATCTACTGCTGTTAAAGGAGCAAGGGAGCTTAGGATCGTGTATGAGCTGCAGGTCATTTGCCTCAGCCCAGGTTTCAAGTTTTGTCCCATTTTCACTTGTCTCTTTGTATCCCCAAGCAATGCTCTGACAATTAAAATCCCCCAAGACGAAATTAATGTCATCATAGCATAGATTATCGGGCTCTGTAAATACATACTGAGATTCGGGAGGCTTATACAAAGAGGTGACACTGTACTGTGGTGTCCTGACCATTAGTATCTCAGTATTGTTCCTCTCAGTAAGCGAGGCTGAGGTGATGTCAATGTATGGCCTGGCAAAAACAGCACTACCATATTGATCATGAGGTCTCTCTAGAATCAGTCTCATTCCCTCTATGTTGGGTCTAGGTAAAGCCCCGGTGTGTTTTTTGCACAAGGAGGAAGTCGCATTCGTACATCTTGCACATATCAGACAGTAATACTTCTTTGTCTCTCGATATTCCCTCGATATTAATCGAGATCGTTACTAATGGCCTTGAAAAAGACCGTTTAGGTAGATTCATTTTTCGAAGTCGTCCGGTTGTAGAAGGATTTGCCGCTGACATGTCAGCGTTGCCCGGGTTGCGCCCGATTGTGATGTCGTTCAAAGCGTGTAATGGTCACAATCTTCGAGGAGGATCCTTCGGTGCACCCCTTTATTTGTGGTGAAGACAACTATAAACTTTTGGGATCCAACTGAACTTTACCTAGGCAAATACATTCCAAGAATTTCCATTGACTTTTGCCAGTTTGAACTTGAACTAAATTAACATATATTATTTTATTAGACTCAAAATTTAAACTTTCATCTTTGAAAAGTGTCTAATTGCACTTTAATTTGTGATGAACATTAGGCCTATGTCTATCAAAAATCACGTAAGTCTGCTTTGAGCCGGCACGATACCCCTAGTACCCTGAGATATAGAGAGTTTCATCGTACAATTTATAATAGCCTATAATTTAGTTGGAGCATTTCTCAAATATGTTGTAAAGCAAGAAATTAATGGAAAACATGGAGACATATCAGAATTAAAAGATACTTTATTGATTCAAACATGTGTAAGTTAACCCTACTTGTAAATTTTGATTAATACATGGTATGTGTTTATTATTGTAAATCCTAAACATTTATTTATTTATATACCACATATAAATGAATTTTGCAGTGTATATCCTTTTCTTTTATGTAGGCATAATACATTTGTAAAATTAAATATGCAGTTGTTCAGGTTTAAATGTTTTTGTTTCCTATATATTTTATTGTGATGTATAGGTACTTTTTGCAATCGGAATCTTATAAACTAAAATAATGATAATGCCTTTGCTAAGTACCCTCATTGTTTGTTACTAAATTTTTACAGGACCTCCTAAATAATCTAGGCCTGGTCTGGCCTAAAATAGGTAACACCTTGGTCTTAACTGTGTTTCTTTCTTGACACAATCCTGTGTTAGGGGTAAATGTCTTAGTATAGCTCGTGCGTTTCCTGGTGAAGCCTGGGCGGTAGGTGGTTAGAGTGGCTGTGAACCGGTTTTGTATGAGCTTCAACCCTACCCCCAGGCTTCACCAGGAAACGCACGAGCTCTAATGTGTGGTACTGTAATTGTATTAAAATTTTAAATAATGGTTTTAAATACACTTCTGAGAAGAAAACAGCAAAAATACTGGTACCGTACCGTACCAATATTTTACCGAGAACAGAGGTACAAAATATTGTACCGTATCGAACCGTACTGACCTTAAATTTTCTGTACCGCATACCCCTACTATAAATATTTTAACACTTGACTTCCTTCCCCAATGGGTTAAACTAAAAATGTTTTAATGACTTGCTGATTTTGATAGCAAAGTTTATTAATCAAACGTTGAAACTGAGCTGTCAGCCAAACAGATGTTTACAATACGTTTAGTCAAGTGTTATATTTGATGTTGTCTTTGCTGAACTGAATGATGATTTTTAACTTAATACATTTACATACTTCAAACTTTTAGTTTTGATTTATAATGTACCAGCAAGCTAAGCTAGTGGTGTGAGCTAAATTTCTTTGATTTATTATGAGTTAACAATTCTTTGATAAGGTTTGTGTAGCAATTATGTTTTCTTAATCAGTTTAATATTGTTACATTAGTCTGATAAAAGACAATAAGATTATTTAATCATATTATCAATTGAATTAATTTTAAAATGTGTGTCTTTGTAGGCTACATGGACTATTAAAATTTTGAAACATTTTTAAAGATAAAAAACATTGAAAAAAATCATGCTAAACAATGAATTGACAATTATTTTATCATACATTTATTTTAATATGATATTGACTTATTGTAATAAAATTCAACAAGTGTAGCTAACAACAAACAATTGCTTTTATAGTATTAGTTAGTATTAAAGGATTGTTTATAGCAAGTTTTTATATCCTCATCCATCATAACTTTCCCATTCGAGCTACAATAGAAATGCAATGGTATTAACTGATGGTTTCCTTTTACTTTCTCCCCCTATACATAGAGAAAGTAATGTTTTTGTCAACATTTTTGAGTCTGAGTGTTGAGTGGATATATCCATTTTGGGTCCCCCTGAACCCAGAAAAGTGGTTTTCAAAGTGATGTCTGTGTGTGTGAATGTGTACAGAGCTACAGACCACACCTGAGGTCCGACTTTAATGAAATTTGGTATGTATGTAGTAATCTCCAGGTATTTTGAGTTTTTTTTTTTAATACCCACAAATTAACGGAAAAATTGGATTTTCTCAAAAATGGCCTGAACAATTTTCATAAAAATTTAGTATGTTATAGTCCTTTAAATTATGAACAAAATGGTACAAATCCCATTTCCGTAAAAATTACGTTTAAAAAGTTATTGTAACTTCCGTTATTTTCCCATAAAAACTACAAGATAAAACAAAAATCTGATTTTTGGAAAAAAGCTGGTATTGATCAAAATTAATGTGTTATGGTCCTTATAATAAAAAAAATAGGACAACCCCCCATTGCTGCAACGATTACGGTTCAAAAGTTATTACTACCATTGTGATTTTTAACTATAAAATATCATATTTACTCCCATCGCTTACCCATGGTAAAGGTTGTTGACAAGCTTATGGGAGAAAGTTTGTGTCAGAATGCTGATACTGTTTAGCCTATTTAAAAACAAATCAACTGACCATCACCTATGACTACTGATATGTGTGGTAATTTAAAGACAGCAAGTATTGTTGCGGTAGTCACGTCAATGCCAGTGATGACAGTAGTGCAGAGAGCGGAAAGTGAACCAGCTTCATCTGGCTTATCAGACAAATTCCATTGATTTGCTGTGCTACGAATTAACAAGACATTGTACATTGCAAATTCAACTCGTAGTGTTTGAAGTTCAAAGAAATTTTGTTACTGTAGGCTATGAGTGTTGACTGTAAATTGTGGTCCCAAACAAGCTAATATAAAGACAGAGTATATGCTAGTTAAAATCTGGCACTAGAAAATTGTTGTATATTTCCCAGTTAACATCTACTACAACTATACTAAGCGAGTTAGAGATAGAGACCAACTTAAAAAATAGTGGGGGAAGTAACAGAGAACTGAACCAACTTTTTCTGTTTTACTTGAAGCTCATTGGAGACCTTAATCTAGCTAATAATAGGTAGGCTAATACTGAGAATTTGTTATACCAAATGGTAACTGTTCAAAACTCACTCATTTTTTAAAAGAGAACCACAAGATTTATCTGTTACTTAATTTTAATCCAAGCTTCTTCACTTGTCAACCCCGCTTGTGATTGGCTTGTTGGTTGTAGATTTTTAACGTATGATCAGTGATTGGTGTTACAGCGGCCGGGCCTAAACCTGCGTACAGCGCGACGTACACAACACAGACGACTCGTCCTGTCACGCAAGCCACACCTGTCAAGATACTCGGAACTACGTCCTACAGTACTACCTACCCGTCCCAACAAACTCAGGCTAGCAACCATTATAACAATGTTATTAAAGTTGTGAGTATAGTGCTTTCTTTGTCCGCCGTCTTTGAACAGGTTGTAGGTTGACTGGTGGCAGTGCTGTGTGCTTGCATGTGTGCATTGCCTTGCTGCCCACAAACTGTTTAAAGACAATCCCACCATGCTATAGATTTTAAAGGAGTTCATGTAGCGTTGATTTAGGCCCCTATTATACTCTGCTGCACGCGTTCGACGGCCCTGTAAGTGTATTGAGTTAAATGGGTGCTTTTATACTCTGCGGCGGCCGCCGCATGATGCTGCGACTGGCTAGATGCACCACAACGCACCTAGGAGTCGCAGAAACGTGCAGCTTCTAGGTGCATTGCGTTATATTGGAGCTTTTATACTTTGCGGCACGCCGCAGCGGCGCTGTCAAGTGCTGCCAACTGATCAAAACAAACTCAGTTCAACACAGTACTGCCTTGCCTCTCCCCATTTCACTTTCTGTTGCCACTAGTTAGATAGAGAGATCGAGAGAGAAAAATTCTTTATTTACAACAAATTATTTTACAGCACTAGTGATGTGACGAGTTGAGTACTTTCCCGACTCTAATCAATTCGACTCGATACCGCAACAGGGTTGCCACCAGCCATGAAAACCTTGAAAAGCGTGAATTATGCGTGAATTTAGGTGACCATGAAAAAGTGCGTGAATTATGCGTGAATTTCGTCATTGGACCATGAATTCTCAAAATCATTATTAATAATTCAGCCAAAACCCCTAAATGTGCTGAATCAAATACTCCGTATTAAAACCATTCTCGAAATGAACACCGAGATAAAACGTCAAAGTGGGAGTGTCGAGATAAAAAGTTTTGTTGCCATGCCACGAACAGAAACGATTGCGTAGTTTATTCAAGGTCAAATCCGATCGTAACCGACGTCAGCCGAGTAGTCTAGAGATGGGAATTATCGTTGTTTTCCGGCAACGGTTATAACGATAACGCAGCTGCCCAATAACGTGTTGCGGCAACCTGTTATTTCAATAACGATTGCCAACTCGTTGCCGCTATAAACCGTTGTCTTGTACGCCGGTCGCCGGTCGGTTGATCAGTTCTGAGTTCAGTTTTCAGTTGTAGTCGGGAGTCGGGCGTTGCCGCGTTGTCCAGACAGGATGCGTTATTCTAGTTCGTTTCAGAAGTTATCGTTGCTCTGGTAGCGTTGCGGCAACGGCACTAATGGCAATGCATGTTTCCGTTGTCCGCGCGGCTTTCCTGCAACATTGTGTAGATAGATACGTTATTATAATAACAGGGAGTTCTCCGCAACGTGTTGCCGCGATAACGTTGCCGTGGCCGCAACACTGTTATTCATCCTGTTATGTTATAACGCCCATCTCTACCGAGTACCGATCTACCGATAAAATCGATGCTTTCGGAGCTAAAACATCGATCACATCGATGTTTATTCCGAGTTTCTCGTCTGTTCTCTGCACTGTAACAGCCAATTAACCTAAAACCAATACAATTCAGTTACGGAAAACATCAATATTTCATTACTTTTGTTGGCCTAAAAGACCGATGTAACAAACCAAATCATCGGTTCGGTAATCTACCATCGATGTAAACAAACAACTTCGAACATCGATAGAAAAGACATCGATGTTTCGAAAACATCGACAATCGGAATTGATGCTCGCTCTCACTCATTCTCTACTCTCTCCTCTAGTGTTCGTGTGGAAGGAAATACAGAGTAACCATAACCTAAAAGTTTTAAACTGATCTGAAACTTGTCAAACTTTTGAAGTAGTGGTGGACACTGGACAGTAAGATCACTTTTTGCACTCGTGATTCCGTTTTGTGCTTCTTATAATTGATTACCCAACACTCAGTGGAACAAGTGTTCAGATTAAATATTTTTTATTACTGATATATCATACTTCCGATACTTTACAACGTTAAAATAAGAAGTACCTTCACCTTGCCTTGCCATAAAGGTCAAAATGGCTTACGCCGGCTGGAACCGTCTTCTGTGTTTGTTTGGTCAAATATGTCGTAATTTCAAACTACTGTCAGTGTTGAATAAATGTGTTACGTTACAACGGGAGTTTAAGTTTATTTATTTAGGCCTAAGTTGCAAGAAGTCAATGTTGTGCTGAAAAATGGTGATTTCGTTCTGAGGAAGGTAAATGTAAATGTTTTGTTGGAAGCATAACTAGGTGTTTTCAGTCAATAATGAGACTAATGAGATATTCATGAATGACTGATGAGATATATAATACTAACTAATGAGATGTAAATTTAATTAAATAATTGTTTTAACTGTGATTTAAACCTGTGTAGGCAAATAATAATATATAAACTGATCCAGTCGGAAGAAACATCCTCCTAACTAAGTTTATTTTAACCTTTTCTGTAGGGGAATGTAATTAATTATTTTTTTATTAGGCCTACTTAATGTAAGTTAGCCTATGTCTAAACTTACATACATTCCATAACTTTTGTTTCGTTCTTAGCTTTAACTAAATATTTATTTACATAATCTTACCTTTTTAGAGTGTTTTTATCAGTCAGTCGGTAACCTTTAATCTTCTCAATAAATAAAAGTTGGTTCAGGCCTAACTTAGCCTAGATTCAGCTTTGGATTACAATGTAGGCTAGCCTACTGTGTTACAGTATAAAGTAATAGATTGCATGCGCGTTTTAGTAGGCCTAGATATGGTCCATTACTAAGGTAACCGTTTCTTGGATCATGTTCTTAACATTTGTTTTTATTATGCCTATTATCTTAATTAAATACGTTATGCCTATTATCTTAATTTGATGTTTAGACAGTAAAGTTCTAGGCCATTGCTGGATTAACTAAGTTAAACCTTTTATGTTTGGATGTAATGTTTTTTAGGTTAGGCCTAGACCTAACTACCAATCCGACTTATTTTTTATTTATTATTTCTTCTAACATTTGAATTTATCATTAGGCCTATGATGTTGTTAAATCAGATGTTTAATTTTTTTTTATAATTACATCGTATTATCACACACAAGATTTTTATTAATATCCTTTTTCATCTGTGATTTTACTTTTTTTAGACTGGATAAATTTTATTAAATTCTTATTTTTCACTGTAAAATAAACGCATGAAATGTGTTTTATTTGATAGTAGCACACAAAACTATATATTGTCGATAAATTAATGTACAATTCTGAACTAGGCAACACTCTTTTATGGTGAAATTGTGCGAGCATATACCCCATGCATTTTTCAAAACTACCAATGAAAACCTTGAATTATGCATGAATTTTTTTATCTCACTTTGGTGGCAACCCTGCGCAACTACTTGAGTCAGCACTCAAGTACTGGACTCGATTCTTACCTGTATAGCACCGAAGCTCTGTTGACTCGTAGCTGCGAATCCTGGAAATGAATCTTGTCTTGACTCGAGTCCATTTACTCGAGTCAGAAGTCAGATAGACTTGGTTTGGAATCGATGTATACTCTGTCTGTATGTGTAGATTTAAGATGAGAGCGAGATCAGTTATTCCTCTCACATTGAGTTGATCATTAATTATGGGTTTTATTGGTTATTGTAAAACTTTGTTGGATTAACGAAATAGATTAAATAACGAACAGTATCTTGACTCAAGTAAGCCATTAACTCGAGCGCTATGTACTCGTAGCGGATGGTTTTGAAACTATATCGTGAACAGTCAACAGTGTATTATTACGAACTGTCAAGCACACAAGCGCTGTCGACTCGTGGCAGAATCTGGAACAACATTGACCCGATTAGACGAGGATTAAATGCACCCAACCCAAGCGCTATGGACTCGTAGTGGTGGATCTAGTGAGCACGTAAGTAAGTTCACAAGTAATAGTACTCTAGTATCGCCGATTTGGTATAGAGTCGAATCGATACTTCATTGGACTTGATACTTACGAGTAGGGATGGACGAGATTGAATTTTTAGTTCGAGACGAGACGAGACGAGATTTGTTATTTCTCATAAAATTTCGAGACGGGATTTCCCTTCTCATACACAACGGGAAATGCACGTTCAAAATTTTTACCTGATTTTGTAACATTGTTAGATGACTGTTTAAATACAAAAATAATGATAATAGACAAGAATATTTACAATCTTTTATTAAAAAACATCAGCATAACATTTTTTTATTAATCACGCCTAACTTATTAAAAATGCCTACGATTAGGAAACATAGTGATATCAGTTAGGATAGAGTTCAACTTATCCTAAAATAAAATAAATCATAAAATAAAAGCAATATTAATTTTTATAAAATAGTTACTTGTTTTGACTTTTTATAGTAATAAAACATTCCTCACACTGCTTACACTTAACAAAACTTCTCAAATGTTATTAAAGTAATATTATTAAAATAATTAAAGTAATATTTACATTTATAGAATTAATTAAATAAGAATGCCTTCGCAAAGGAAACGCAACTACAACACGCTCCTGTATTGCGGGTATTGCATTGACTTTCTGCAGGCGTTTTTAATATTTTTTTTTTTTTTTTTTTAATTCTCGTCTCGATAAAAATCTCTGCCAAAAAGAAATCTCGTCTCGTGTAACGAGATTTAAAATTTCCCGAAATTTCGAGACTTGACCATCTCTACTTACGAGTAAAGAACTCGACTCGTCACATCACTAGTTGCCACTGTGGTAGGTGCTTTCTTTTTCTTTTTTTCCTTTTCTTTTCATCAGTTTGCATGTTATGTGTATGTATAATTACATATAGTACTCATGGTAGAATTGGCAACGTCCCAAGTAGGGTTGTTTAGTGTAAGACGTCCCATTAGATAACATGGCAGACACTTCATCAGCTTGTTGATTCACACTTTATTGATTTAAATTTATGAACATAAGTTTATCAAAATATTGAAAATAAACCACACAGAATTAAAAACCAAAACAATATGAATTGAACATCTATCTAATTGTGCATCTTTACATTTAAAGTGGAGTCAGTATTGTCATAGTCCAGTAACCAAGCTTTGGTAAATACACAAAGTACCATTAGCTGCTTCCAAACAAGACATCTGTTACAACCCTGCTCGTGACGTTGCCACTTCGAAGGCCACGGCCTAGAGTTAAAGGCGGCCGTGATAGTACTACGATTGAAGTAAATATAGAAATCTCTTAGTTAGTAGGCCTGATACTTCCACCGATGCCATGATGCCGTACAAACATGCGGTGCGGGGTGCCGCAGAGTATAAGAGGAGCCTTGGATAGAAGATTTCTTATTCTGATGTAAAAATTTCTTCCCAACAAAATAAGCTTGAACCACACAATAGCTGTATGCAAATAATGGTACTGTCACTTTTTGATTTGCAAATAAACGAACAAGGTAGATTCTGATTATTGTGTCTTAAAATATAGGGGAGGGGCTCGAATCAGTAATAAGCCTATAAGTTATTGAATATTCATCATCAATATTGAATATACCTAATAAATAATTTATCTTTATAAAGGTCATAGACAATGTCAGAGAAAGAATTTAATGATTCTAAAACACAATTTGACACAAGGCATTTTTTCCCCAGGTATTGAAACATTTGACAGACAAAGAAATCGATCACCACTTGCCAACTTTTATATGTATTTACAGTCTTGCGAGTCAACAGTATAAGTGTAGATATATTATTACAAGTGTTATTAGGCGTACATCTTTTTGTTTTTTCAGGTGTTGTTACTCTCGAAACTTCCGATCGGTTAAGGCCTAATTTTCTATAAAGATAAATTTTAATGGAGGAAAACTTTGTTGTGACCCCTATGAAGGTTTAAAATCAAAATTATCGTTATAACGATCAGAATTATTAATTATATACCTCATGAACTCCTTATTCCTGTATCATTAAGATTTGCAGTTTCATGCTCACTTTTTGGTGTTGTAACATTTCATTGTAGTTTCACTCAAAGTAGTTGTATATTAGTGTTTTGTGTCGTGTATTGTAGTATGACAGTTTATTGCTTGGCTTTATCATAAAGTATGCAATTTAAGTTCATTACAATACAATTTTAATATCTCACAATATCTATTGAGATTTAATAAAACCTTATTATAAATCATATAATGCGCATGTGCCTAATGCTTAAAACTGATGCTTTTTACATTAATTAATTGTCGCTGGGCCTAGTTATAAAGGCAGTGGTTTAGAATCTTTAAATGAGGTGAGCTATTCTAAATTGCTTGAGCTTTACTGACCTACTACTTTGTGAGTTTCATTCTTGAACAAATGTTGTATGCTAAAGCCCAGAAGATATATAGAGTAGTTTGGTGCTTATTAAAATCTCTTGAAAGCCGGAAGCCTTTTGCACATCTATACACACTCGCAGAGATCATTCTGATACCACTTATCCCTTTCAAAACCCACTTATAACTCAAAACATGGAATTGTTAAAATAGGAACATTCCATAGTAAATCAATCGGCAAAGAGTAATCTGTTTCCTTGACCTTTTTAAAATTTATTGCACGTTTAATCATTCATGATAGCTAAAGAATATAATGGAACTCCAATCGTATCCGTATTTCAAATATTCAATTTACTTAAAAAAATAATTTCAAGAACTAAAAAATACAGCAATAAGAACAAAAATAGTTTCAGCAATTAAAACTTCAACAGTAATAAGAGGCAAACTCCTGAACACCTCCCGTGGCTGTGTAGGCATCATCATCATTTCCCGCAGTCACAGAAACATCATCATTGTCATTGGTGATCAAGGCAAAATCTTGAATATTGGTCACGGGCCCATGGTCATTGTCTCCCGCAGCCACGGAAAATCATCGACATTCTCCGTGATCATAGTAAATCGTGAATTTTTCTATCGTGAAATCTTGGCAGCCGCGTTCTGAAATCATAGTAGAAAAAGCTCGCCTCCACTTTGTGTATGTTCTATAAAATACCCCAAATTTGGCAAGAATGCAATTATTAATATTTTTGATTGGGCCTATTTGAATGTGATATGGTCCCAATCGATTTGGTTAATTGGAGTTCTACTTTACATTGAGGAAGAGGGAATGATTATTCATCAAGAGCAATATACTTTTGTGGAATTAATATGTAGGATAAATGGTTTTCATTTTTAAATGCGTGTTTAACTGTATTTTGTTTGACAGGTGAAGAAAACCTTTCACCCTCAGCAGCAAGGCAATACGGCCACCTCTGGCTCGTATGTTCCTCAGCAGACGTACAGCTCACAGAATAGCAGTGTGTCTGTCGTCAGCACCAACTACAGTCAAAGCTACTCTACTCCCACCTCCACACCACCTACCACCACTCCTAAGCCTAAAGCTGGTGAGTACTGTAGTAGTAGTTGGAGGGGAGCTAGAGAGCAAACCCGAAATCCTCCCCTAGAATCCCAATACATGAATAGTAAAGAATATATATTAATCCATTTTTTTATACAACTTTTAGTTTAATTATAAAATATAACATAACAGATACATCATTAAAGTTTTGTCATTGTTTATGGATTTATCGTTCTATGAGCCCCACTGATAAAATATACAGGGTGTTAAAAAAAGGTGGGGACATAATTTACGTAAAGTGATTCTTTGGGTCAAAATAAAGAGATAATCAAGAATAACAATATTTCCAAAATCACTTCGCAGATATCCGCCATTTTGTATTTTTTATATAAACATTTTTATCTTTGGATTTTCTCAACTGATCTTTATGAAACTTGGTATGTATGTTAAGGTAAAAGAGACCAATGTTGGGAAAAAATTCATCTTGATTTAACTTAAAATTTCAAAATGGCGGCCATTTTAATTGTTTAAACTTAAATTACAAAAAAAATGGCTGATTTGATAAAAAAATGTCAGGAACACTTTTATTTAGCATTTTCAATTCCTTATCAAACAATACCAAGTTCGAGTTGATATAAGTGTGCCAGCTGTTTTATTCAAAAGTTATAGGAGAAATAAAAAAAAACTACAAATTGTGCCTTAGATAAAAAAAAAAACTGGTCCAAGTTGAAAAAAAATTTCTTTCCCTACAGTTACCTAACAATGTACATGTTCTCTCACTGATTTGAGAAAGCAAAGTGGCCAATTCGCTCATCAGTGAGACAATGTTAACATTGTCTCACTCCAGATTTGCAACGCGAAGGCACGAAATAGTGAGCGTGTAACATGCAGACAAGGTCGTATGCGCGCGAAATACGTTGGCAGCACTGGCTGTAAATCAGCTGGTCAGCTGTTGTACTGTTGTATCATTAAATGTCATATTAAAAGTTCATTTCTGTGTAAAAATATGTTACGTTTCTTTACCAATTTATTTGTTTTATGGTATCTGTAGGAAAAATATAATGTGAAACTCGAGTGCAAAGTGCAATTGCCTCACTTTGCTCACTAGTTGCACAAATAAATATTAACTTTGATTTTTCTTTCGGAAGACCCTGCATTTTATGTTTTGTCATGTGCATTATTTTTATTCTTGGCATTTTTTGTCTACACTTATATGGAGTTCCCAGCATGTTACAATTAAGAAAAAATTACTTGCAGTGTACATTCTGCATCATGTAGTTCCTAAACGAGTAAGTTTAGAGCAAAAATGTGAAGAGTAAATAAGTCTTACAATTGCATCTACATTCTAGAAAGACCGAATGTAGATGCCATTTTAAGATTTTACGGCAGTTCCGTACATTCTTTCAATCAGGATGACATGAAAAGGCTGCAAAGAATAGTTTTTTTGTTGCAAAAGAAATTTTGATTTTATATATAAAACCTTTAACTTAAGAAGCGTAATACAAAGATTTTTTTGCAGCGACAACAACATACTCTGGGTATGACGCTGCGCTATACAGTGCTGCTACCATGTATGTCGCTCAGCAGTCTACCAACACTACGACTGTGCCTACCAAGACGACCAATACCTGGCAGAACTTCAAGAAGCCGATGGGGTTTGGGTTCAAACTGAACAGACCAAAGGGTCCTGCTAAGCCCCAACAACTTCACTACTGCGAGACTTGCAAGATCAGCTGTGCTGGGCCACAGGTAAACAATCTGACTTGGCTTAAATAGTACAATATGGAGTAGTTCGGTTGTCCTTGTCATACCCAGTTCTTGGTTGAGAGCTTTCGCTTGAACGGGGGATCCACATAACTGCAATAGTTCAGTGCATCTGCCTGTGAAACATCATATGCAAAAAATACCCCCGCCGCAGCAAACCTGCCGACTAAGCGAATTTCCATTTGTCTGAATTGATTTTCAGTTAAATATATTTTAATAACATTAGGTTTAACGAGTACCTAGGTTTGCTGCTACAAGGAAACTAGTAAAGTGTGTTTTTGAGTAAAATATTGATAGCTTAGTACAAAATAAATAAATTTGCCAAGTTTGATCAAAATATATCCATAAACAAGCAAACTACAACATTTGACAATATTCTCCATAAGAATAACATGGGAATTTTAAATTTAAAATTTTTTTAATTTTCTCCGTTACTAATAATCGAATAAAAATACTTTTATATACTAAATTATTTGTTTTTTTAAGCTCTTTAAAAAGGTCTAAAGAGAAATCGGGAAATTTTGTGTTTTGAGGGTCAAAAGTGAGAAAAACCAATTTTTACCCCATAAAACCCCCCGTAAAGCCCCGTTCCCATGGTCCGATCGTGCTGGTTTGCGAACTCATTCAAGTTTATCCCGCTTTACACCTTTAAACCAAATTTCATCAAAATCGGACAAAAATTACTCAAGTTATCGCGTTCACGGACGTATATATATATATATAAGTCTATATATATATATATATATATATATATATATATATATATATACATATATAAAAATTTGAACGAATGGTGTTTTTGGCCTCTGGGGACATCAAAATGAAAAAGTAAATCGGTCCCGGGTCTAGGTCTTACCGTGCCACCTACGGTAATAGCTACTTCCCTATAGGGAAATTCGCTAATAGCCTTGCTTTGTTGGGGTTTTTACAGTCTTAAAATAATTGAAGTAGGTAAAAAGTTGGGCTTAGTTTTTGTCATACGGGCTTATAAAATTGATTTTGTACTGAAGGCAGCAGTTGAATAAATTGCCCTTGTAATATTGTTTAGTTGATTTCTAACTGCAGTTTTTGTTTGTCCGGCAAGTTTGCTACTCCTAATATTTAGGAACAAGAGAAAAATAAATATTGGGACTAGTGATGTTTCTACCAAAATGTTTAAGATACAGTAGAACCTATTTAATCCGAACCCCCGTAATCTGAACGTCCACTAATCCGAACACCTCATTACTGTACTTTATACACAGTACAGTAGTGCTATATTGTATACTGTATTTAATGTACAGTACTGTTTATTCACTATGTTTACTACTGCATTATATAAACACTGTATATTACTTTATAAAGCATTTTTTAACTTTTCCAGTAACAATTACGATCCATTTTAGCCTTGTTTCAGCTATTGTTATGTAAAGAAAACTCTGTTCTGTAATCCAAACTATTCAATAGTCCGAACTACCCCCGGTCCCAATTAGTTCGGATTAAAGAGGTTCTACTGCACTGATAACCTGAAAAATCTATTCACGGCTCCCAGTACCAGAATACCATTTAAAAAGATGTTGCTAAATGTTCTGTACGGATTGTTTCTACTACATCAACTCCTATCTCCTCACACAAAAGTGAGCTGATAGATCTGATTTCCACCAAACACTAAGCAATTTTAAGGTAATAGGGATGTTTTCTAGCTGAATGAAAAATTCTAACTAATTAATTCAAGACAAAATTCTTCTTAACACATTCAATAAATACCATATCAAATGCAAACAGCAATCTGTAATATCAAATAATTGGAACAAATCCTGGGATCAACCAAGTCTCAATAGAGCACCTGGAACTACTTATGCATACAATAATTTTCCCAAATGAACTCTCTCTCTTGAGTGTTGAATTTATTTAAAAAAATCTCTTAAGTTAAGCCCTAATCCAAGAAGTGTAAATAAAAAGGAATAAATAATAACCCTATTTTTGCTATTTTTAAATGAAATGGTTATTTTGAATGATAATTCTTCATTGCCCCAGGAGATTTGGTGACCCTGGGAGATATCAATTCTGGAACCAGTTGCCTGCTGTAACTGGGATGTAGCTTGGTAGAAATGCTTTGAATTTTTAAGTGCTTAATTGTCATTAAATATTTAACACTGTTTGGATATTAAAAAGACTACATTTTGATCTGTTGCCTTAAAAATTCAAAATTATTCAAAGTATTATGAAAATATAAGAGATTTGTTCCGAGACAGTAGGAACAAATTAAGGATAGGTAGATAAACTAGTTTTCTTGCAGAAATCACCAACAGAATGATGACTCCTTATTCATCAGATGAATTTGATGAAAACATTTTTTTACTCTTGAACTCTCTCGCTGACTGTTGGTTTTGATAATTGCAATTTATCACTTTATTAAGACAGGTGATGTGTTTTGTATTCACGTTATAAGCTAAGTATGAATTCAGAATGAGTGTAAAATAGTGTGATCAAATTAAAGTGTCCGGTTTTAGTGAGAGCAAGGTTTAAATTTAAGGTTTTAGTCTTTCGGAAGTAACGGTATTTGGTAATGTCACTTTTATATCAACAACGACAATAATATAGTTGTTGTGAACTTTTGCCACTCACTGTCTTTGAAAATACACTTGCGTCCACATAATCCGAACATGAGTAATCCAAATGTCTGCTTAATCTGAACAAGTTCCAGAAATGTGTTCCAAGTCCTAATGTGTTAAAATCAAATTAAATCAAATAAAAAAAATCTCTTATTTAAAAAGAACATTTCTATACATGAATTGTGTTAAGACAATAATAAAAAATAATTATACAGTCGGCATATTTACAGCACTAATTAATTAAGAGTATACTCTATATGAATACAGCTTTCTCTCTTACAACTACTTACAGTAAAACCATTACAACAACTATTGATTTGAATTAGTACTAATAACCTATTGAAAAAGTCCCCAATCCTGTAGCAGCATTTATCTGACAACAATTTTAATAAATAATTTGAAAAAATACATTGTATATTAACCTGTTATGGTCTATTATTGAACAACCCCATCAAACTCCCCTCTGAACACCATCCAGCAACCTGAAAACCAGAATTTGTATGTGAATTTTGATGACCAGGAAATATCCAAGAGTTTTGTAAGGATGTGGGAAATTCAAATATTTAAATAATTGTCAGGAAACCTTCCCAAAATCACAACTTGGAAACTCACGATTCACTGACGTTGCTGCGGTCCGAAGAAATTATCATTACTTTGCCGCAATTGTGCGCAATCTAATGATATTATCACTGATGTCGCTGCAATTGAGTGAAATTGTTACAACATTTTTTCTTAACTTATTAACACCCCACTATTCCAAAATTACTTTATGGATGGACAAATAGACAGGGGTGGTTGGTGTAGTATAACCAATCCATAAAGAAAATTTCTTTAAATAGGCCTAAAAAAAGTGTTTGTATCAAAAATTGATTTTTTAGGTACCTGTATCAAGAAATAATAAATTTTATTGACTTATTCTTAGTTAATTTGAATGTTACAGTTTGTATCTGAACTAAGGTTAATGACTTCAATATCATGAATATACTAAATTAATAATAGGCAATATTGTTATTTTGAGGATGTAAAAATTCAAATAAAGACAATAATGTCTTGGTTTTTTCTTTATTTGTTAATATTTTAAACCACGTAAGATTAAACTTGGTTTTTCAGTATCCGTTGTCTACCTCCCCAGTTAGCCGAGAAAATCGAGGTTAGACAGCATTCTAATTATTTTAGCTAATCCGAACAATCAGCTAATGCAATCAGAGTTCGGATCAGCTGAACTCAAATGTAAATTCAGTTACTCAAACGTTAGTAAAACCACCAACAGAATGATGACATTGATTAGTCTGTAAAAACTTGATGAAAACAATTACTTACTCTTGAACTCTCTCGCTGACTGTTGGTTTTTAGATACTGAATCTTGAAATTCTCCAATAAGTATTTGGTGATAAAAAGCACTTAAATAATATACTTACCAATTACAAAATTTAAAGGTACCTCTTGTCGGGAATTTTTGATTTTGAGTTATATATTTATTTGATTCCCTTATAAAATTCAGAATCACTTGGTGCAAGTCCCATGCATATACAGTTTTTTTGTTAAAGTTATAGGACTTTGAAATTTTTTTATGGAAAAGGGTCATTTTGAGAAAAACTATTTTGAAAATTTCAAATAAGTTTACGCATAAAAACAGTTTTTTTCGTATCCAACCCTTTGAGGTCAAATTGTTTTTTCCATTTTTTGTTGAGTATAGGTCGCTATTCTAGCAGTCGGGAAAATGGCGTATAGGTCGCCATTTTCGCGCAGGCGTGAAAAATGGCGGGCAGTGACCTATACTCGCCATTCAAATGATTTTGGTATCAAAAGAAAGCTTATAATGTCCTCTTTGGAGGCAATACATAGTTTTCTCTTAACTCATGGTGGTTTTAATTTAAATAATTGTTTTATCTAAGCATGAAAAAGGTACCTCTTGTCGGGACCGCAAAATTTGTGAGATATTTTGTTCTCCGTAAACTGAACTTTTTTTTAAGAGGATGGCGGCCTCTTTTAACCTTATAATTTGCCCGTCCACATAGACTAAGCGCCTGTGCGTGGATCGTTTACAGCAAAGCAAGGAGTGAGCCGGTACAGTACAAAGGCAGTGTAATTTTAGTGGCAGTGACCAGGATCCGAACCCACGACATCGCTGCCTTGGGCCCGAAGTCCGCGACACTACCGACTGAGCCACCGACTCACTAAACTTTGTTTTTAGTTCTCTAAATTTCCACTAGAATGCAGTACAATTCATTTTTTGGACTAAAGTCTGTTAATAAAGTGAATATTAGAAATGGGACCTCTTGTCCTTATAATATGTCGAAATAACATTGAGCGACAAGAGGTACCTTTTCTCAGACCGTGCAATGGCTAAAAAATGAGGTAGGCCTATGACAATTGATAAAAAACCAAATT